GGACCAACCAGAAGTGAGGGAAATGGACCATTCAGGAGTTAGCTCAGGGAACCAATACAATCTTAGGGATAAGTTCCACTTTCCTAGAAGTAAGCCGTTTTAGAGTTTAAAAAGCGAGATAATGGCGCAGGTCCAGGGAACCAAATGGTGCTGGCAGGAGGGTAGTGGCCCTGCCTGGGAGTTCTGCAGTCTTTTTCATGGGGCTTCCCACCTCAGTGTAATTTCTATCACTCTGAAGAGAAAGGCAATTCCCTTGTCAGAATTATAACAGATATCAGGAAATTGCTAAAAGGCTTTCAGAAACTTTCATTTCCTTTCTCCCAGACAATTCCTCTGAGAGTCCACCTTCCTTAACCAGTGCTCTTAAAGGAAAATAAAGAAGAGGCTTGAGAGAAATGCAATGAAATCTCATTAATCAGACTTTAAATAATTAAGTCTGAAAGAAACAGGCACTAACTGTGAAGAAAGGTTCTGCTGTGTAAATTAATAAGATAAAATTAATAGAGGGGAATGTGTATAGCCTATTTAATTTAACCCACTGCTTTTAAGCATATTAATAGCATTAGCATTGATTTGCATACAATCTTATTAATTAAAATTGCTTTTTTAAAAGAGAAAGCAAGATCTCTACTCGGTAGCAATTGCTTGAAACTGCTAGTCCCATAGCAATTTGAAATCGGTATTCATTTGAAATATGCCTCAGGTTAGACATTTTGCCACTTCAGGCTGGCCCCTTCTTCAATACTTAGGTTAGTGAGATTTCAGATTCCCTGAATCTGGTTACAAATATTTGAGAAAGAAACACAGGAAGAGCCTTAATAATTTGAGTTAAATGATAGTAGAGAACTTGTCAAGAAGATAAAGAGGGAGACAAACTATCTAATGATTAAGGACACTGTTCTCAAACTGAGAAATAGAAATTTCAACAAATGTGCACATTACAACTAACATGAAAATCACATCTTAAACCTGAGAATAGAAAAGAATATCCTATGATATCCAGTTATGTTGATTCCTAAGTCAATATGTTCTTTATAATGTTTTTAAGATGAAAATATTTCAAGACTACTTCTTAAATTCAATTATAATTTGAATGAATGTTCTCAATTAAGCAGCTTTTAGGTATGTGTACTATTCAGTACACATATGATATGAAGAACCAAGCACAAGGCTTTCCTTCTCAAAAGAAAAAAGTCTCCACCTAGAGATGAGCTTTCATTGGCACAAAATTAATCTTGTGGCATTCATTATATTGGTCTCTTAGAAGTAAACTTCTGATGAACAGTTGCTGGGTGAAACTATGGCAGCCCAAAGGACTTATAGAGCATATGTATTTAGATAGTATACTGTTGCTACACATCCACACTTAACCATCCAGTGACTGGGGAAAGAAAGACCAAGAAGCTACACATCATTGTAGAGCAAAAGTTGGGGGGAAGGGGAGAAAGTAATGGAAGAAATTTTCACATATTGCATTATGGCAAACTCACTCTGACATTTATGTAATTTGACTTGCACTTTATGCTAACTAGAATAATCTGTCTGTGGCCTGTCAAACATTCATTGTACATCTGCTTTAACTATTAAGGAAAAGAATGCATTTAAAAATTAAAATGGAGTAACTGTGGTTCAGGCATCCAAAATGGAGCCAAGAGGCCACTGTGGATGTGGTTTCATATGCATTCATGTATCACTGAAAATTTGAATTATCTGAACTTTATCAGATGCAAAGACATCACCAGCCATTCTCAAAACAGTATCTGCTTCAGCTTCTATGTGCAGTCTTATGATCAAGTTCTTTCCTTGTAACTATGCAACCATTTTGGACCCCAACCAAAACTTCACAAGCACCCTTCTTGCCATCTCTAGCTATAATTATTGATAAACAACTCATATAACTAACAATAATCTTGAAGTTTATGCCTTTGTAAGGTTTCCTGATTTTGTAGTCTGGTGTAACATAATTCAAGTACTTCTTAAATCTGTATCCCATGATATAGTCCTCAGCTTGGCTCAAATAAAACACTTTTCTATTCCTATTATAGATTGACAAAAGGGAACAAAGCTTCTCTCTGGTTTGCCTGAGTTTATCCTTTCTTGGATTTGGAAATCTGGACCAGCAATGTGTGTCAGAATAGACTCAGAGATCAAAATCAACTTGCTTCACTGATTTTCTGGGTGTATCTCACCTACTTTCCAGGGTTTGTTTTTGTTTTTTTTATAAACTTGATATCCCAGGCACATACAGTGTTTATTCCACACAAGGTGGAAAGTCATGTAATTTTAGAATATTTTGGACTAATTTGGTCAAGAAAATCAGTCATTCTGGATAGTTTCCAGTGGTTCCCAAAGTGTGGTCCCCAGAGCAACAGCATCACCTGGGAACTCACTAGAAATGCAAAATCTCAGGTCCTATTCCAGACCAACTGAATCAGAAACTCTGAAGGTGGGGTCAGCAATGTCTTTTACTAAAACCTGCAGGTGATTCTAACATGAGCTGAAATTTAAAAACTAGTGGTTTAAGGTAAAAACTCCACATAACCTATAGTAAGTTCCCTCCAGGACATTGAAAAATCTGGTCTGATTCAGTGGCAATGTCTCGGAAGAGCCATAACAGTTTTTATAAGACTATGTCTTCATCTTAGGCTCCTGTTGACTTAAAAAAAATAATTAACTCAAGAAATATGAGATCATTATGGGAAAAATAAAAAATACTATACAATAAAATATAATCATCCTTATCAATGCAGATATTCATGCAAAATACATTGTTAAAAGTGGACTCATAATTTACATACTGTTCTATAATTTGTTTTATTCTCTTAACAATGCATTTTCCATTTTACATATGAGAAAATTGAAGATTAGGAAGGTTTATAGCTTATCTCAGGCCCTACCTAGTTGAAAGGAAGAACTAAGATTTGAGCTCCACCTAGCTAATCCCAGAGCCTTTGCTCTCAATCAAGGTGCTATGAAACTACATTAAAATTTTGCACAGTGAATTATAGTGTGTAATATTACGTAATCAATAATATTATTAAAAGAGCTACCAAGAAACTCACCTATTCTCACAATACAATAATCATTCTCAATCACACATCACTGAACACATTCAAATTTTTCAAGGCAAAATTTCTCAAAATGGAATCACTGAGTTAAATGGCTTGCTGTTGATACATTTTCAAATTGCCCTCCAATTTACTCTATCAACAGTGTATAAGGGTGCCCTTTTCTTCACTACTTTAAAACTATGTTATATTATTGTTTGTCTTTTGTCCATTTCTATTTTTTGCTATTAATTTTTAGCTTTATTTCACTTTGATTCAAGAATGTGACCTACAGGTTTCACTTTTAGGAATTTAATGAGTTTTACTTTGTGGCATAGTATATACTTCAACATTTAGTACAAGAATATCAAACTAAACACAATGATTATATTGCTAATGTAATCTGTCTTTATTTTATTTTGCTTGTTTGTTTTTTGTTTTTTTTTTTTTCCTTCTTCATTTTTTCAAGGACTGGGGCATACTTTATGGTCTTCCATCACTATTTCATTTTTTATTTTTCTCACTTTTATTTCTAATCAGGAATGTTAAGTTGAAGTATGTGATTTTCACAGTCTCCCATAATTCATTACTCTATTAATTTCCAGTTTGTACAGAAAAATAAGCAGCCATATATACATTTGCTGTATTACTTGATGCACAAAGGCTATAGGAATTTTATCCTATTATTCTGTTCAATTTGAAGTTAGTTTGCTCAATTTGAATTGTTATTTGTTGCACAGGTTTGCATAATTACATGTTTTTATAGTCCTTTAGCCAACTGGTTATCTAAGAGGGGCATGTGACTCATTTTTCATTAAAGGTAAATCTATTTTCAGCAGATTTACCTCTGATCCTTAGACAGGCCTGAAACTGACCTGGTGAGCCCTGCATGGATTAACCTAGATGGGTAACTGCTTAGTAGAGAAGCTGAGCTAGACTGGGAGTTAGGACGGGGAATCCAGCCCTGTGGGCAAGTCTCTTAGTCACTGTGATCCTCAGTTTCCTCCTTGAGATGACCTGTGCTGCCCCTTCAGCGCAGGGTTTTGTGAGGAATGAATGAGATGCTATATGAGAGACAAGCTGCCAGGAAGAGCCAAGCTCTCTGCCAGAACAGGCTTGTCTGCTCATCCTCCCTGATGTGGAGGGAGCAGAAGTTTGCTTCTCAGAGATTTTATTCCTTTGAAGAAGAGAAAAATGTTTCAGCCAAAAGAGAATTAAATAGGCAGTCTGCTCCCTCTTTCATGTTCATTCATTCATCATTTATCATTCATTCATCCAACACAACAGTCAGCAAGATGGCTTCCTCCCTTCATGAACCATATGTTTTAGTAGCAGAGTTGGGTAATACACAAGCACAAAAGCAAGATAAGTGATGGGCATCATTAAGAAAAGTGGGAGAAAGAGCCAAATGCAAATGGGAAGTTGTTCAATGGGCACAAAATTTCAGTCATGCAGGATAAATAAGTTCTGGTCATCTGCCCTAGCTCATAGAGCCTACAGCTAACAATACTGTGTTGTGCACTTGAAAACTGTGTTAAAGGGTAGATCTCTAAATATAGGATCACTAGGTGTACACCTGAAACTAATATAATTTATAAATCAACTAGACTTCAATAAATAAAAATAAAATAAAACTTAACGTAGGAACAAAATAGAAAAAAAGGGTAGATCTCATGCTAAGTGTTCTTACCACAAAAAGACGGGCAATATGACACTTCCTGGGGCGATGGATATCTTTATTACCTTGATTGTGGTGATGCTTTCACAGGTGTATGCATATGTCCAAACTCATCAAATTATGTACATTAAATAAGCACAGTGTTTTTCTTTGAATATCAATTAATACCTCAATAAAACTGTCAAAACAAGAAAAAAAGTGGGAGAAAAAACCCAGAAAAGGACCAGATGGAAGAGGCATAATAGAATGTTTTAGAGAATGTGGTCAGAAAAGAACCATTTTTAATTATTCTGGAGAATTAAAATCTTAATTAATAAACTGCTTTGTAAGAGCATAGTGTTTGAAATTTCCAAAAAACTTTCACGCAACTTTTTCTTTTCTCGTTTTATAACAGCATTTTGAGGCACACAGTCTGACATGATCTGGATTTGAGAAGTAGCCACAAGGAATCTGAGACCCAACTGGACAAAATTTCAAACTAGTGATCGCACATACCCATTTCTTGTCTGGTGCTGCTCACACCTAGGCCATACGTTTCTAACACATCCTTTACTGTTCTCATGGATTCATCATACTTGGCTGCCAGGCCAAGGAAGTTGTAGGAACCCATGTTGATGACATCTTTGATGATTCTTCCAGTAAACCTGCAGAGAGAAAGGCCAGTGAACATAAGGGGCTTTCTCACATAAGGCCATTCCAGTGCCCATAAAATACTCTCACAAAAAGATCTTAGCTTCGGCCCAAGTCATATATTTTCTTTTTAATTTTGATTTGCACCATTGTCACCACACACTATTTTGCCCTAGGGGAGAGTAATCCCATCATGAAGCTGGGCACAGCATCAGGAAAAAAGTATCTGGGTCACGGATTATTACTTAGCCCTGGTTTTCCCTGGGTGCTTGTGTTCATGACACCTGTGTTCTGGTGTACATTTAAGCAAGAACTTTTAAATGAGAAAGAGCCATGGTCATCACTGTCTACTGCAGCAACAAGTAGGAGGGTATAATTTGTCAATAAAGCTGAAAAGGACTCTTCCCAGCTGGCTCTGTGTACATTCTGACACAGATCTCTCTTTCACTGCAATACAAACAAGCTACCCTTGGCCACTTAATTACTGTGACTTCCCCCACTGGCATCAGGAGGGCTTGCAAAGGGCTGAATAACAGAAGATCAGCTGTTCCATGCCTTGATTTTTTCAAATCTGTAATCTGGTGCCCATGCTAGAATTTCCTTGAAAGGGTTTTCTTTCAACCAAGCCCCTCCAGGTGGCTGCCTCACCTAAATGTCCAGTTGTAGTCATCTGAAACCCTCTCCATCACATCGAACAGAGCCCCCGGGGCACTGCAGATGGGCCGGTTCCAGTTGTCTCTGACTCTCATGTAAAGGTTCCGTGTATAAAAATTCTCAAAGTTTTGATACAGCGGCACAAAATCCTGTTATAACAGAGGCAGAAGTTTACCTTTGGTCCCTCACTTTTTGTAGTTCATTGGCAATTGAAGGCTAAGAGACCTGAAGGAGCCATAAAAATATTTCATCTGCAAGTATTCCAAGCAAGGTTCTGTGGAGAAAGGGACAGTCAGGGTCCACAACTACCTCTGTGAGGATTCCACTTCCAAAGAACTTACATTTTAGTGGGGTAAGTGAAAAATGTGACAAATAAGGGTCACAAAGGTGACAGCACCATACAAGTCCTGACATAAATTCAGGAGACAAGGAACCCCTATCAGTTCCATCCAAAGGGTAACAGGAGGTGTCTATGTCTAAAGCAATTTACTTAGAAAAAATTTGTTGGATGATAATTCAGTCTTAACATCATTGACTATGAGTCTCCCCACTTGTTATATTTTTAGACATGGGGATGAACTTAAACTGTTGGCTCTGTTGGTAAAACTGTTGGCTCTGTTGGTATAACTGTTGGCAGGTGACTGAGGGCCCAGAATCTGAGTTGAAGAGCTATGGAGACACTTGGTTTCTCTCATAGTCACAGCACTATTTTGCTGTATAAAGTCTCCTCTATGCCCAAGGGATTTGCCGTCCAGCTGAGGCTCAGAGCAAGACACATCTGATTTTGGCATCTAACTGCTAATAGTAAGTACAAGGGAAAGAATGCGAAACTTGACCAAAGCCAAGTACTTGGGGTGTTTGTTAAGATTTAATCCAGGGGAGGAGGCACATTTTGCTGGAGGAATCAAGTGGCTTTCTGTAGGAGGGGCTTTGGAGTTGGGCACTGAAGGTGGAATGAGGTTGCCACAGGCAGGAATGCTTGGAGAGGGTCCTTGGGGTGAACGGGTCTCTTTGATGGAAATTTGGGGTGATTTGAGAAGAATGAGTAAGAATTAAACACAAGGTGGAGACTATCCCTCTTTGTTTAGTTTTTAATGGCTCCCATCTCACTTGGAGTCAAAGCCAAGTTCTGCCTGGTCTGGTCCCTGCTTCCTCTCTGATTCCCCTATGATTCCCTGTGGTGTGGGTGGGCCTGCAATGTCAGCTGGGCGCAGAGAATGGGAGCCGTACGTGTCCATAGGAGGAACTTGGACACTATCCTGGAGGCCGCAGGGAGCCACTCAATAATAGGGAGTGAGCTTCCCATCCTCCTCCCATCTCCTCTGAGTCCTTTGCTCTCCTTCCCCTTAGGAAATGGAGCCAGTTTCCTGAAGGAACAAGGAAGACCCTGGGGAAAGACTTTGTAGAAGACCTTCTTATGCTACTTATCTGGCCCACTCATCTCCTGAGCTGGTCCAGTCCAGAATGAAATGATAGAATCTGGTTTTTATTGGCAATGCCATTATATTTGAAGGAATATGGTGATTATCTATAAGAAAGAATGCTCATAACCACACACTGGGGGCTATCACGTGTGAATTTGAAACATGGATGAGCAACTCTACTGGTTACATTTGTAAGCTGAATATTTCATACCAAATTCATTTTCTCTCAAATAGCTAAATATCCTTATATAGGTTTTATTATGATTTAAAGCTACAAGATTATGACAATCCATTATTCCCTTTTATGCTAAAAGGAAATGGATATGTTTTGGGGAAAAAAGATTACATAATTCTAAGAAAACATTTTCTAATTCCCTCTTTGATTTAATAACATTTTTCTGGATATTTTACTGATTTGTAGATTACTCTATATCCCTGAACATTGTTTGTGTTGTTCTATTTCTAATTTTTAATTTCTTACTTGAAATGACATCATAGAAACTAATCCTTTCAAGAGGAAAGAGAGAGGATGTCTGTGAGTAATATTTCTAGACTCAGAATGGGAATATGACTTTAGATTTTATGAGAATTCTTACTCAAAATAGAGTTAACAGTTGATTTAAGAGAGACATTAACAGTTGATTTAGGAAAACAGTTGGTTTTGGATAGAAAATAATCAAAATATCCTGTCTACAAAATTAATTTCAGACATGGAGCCACAAGATACTCAAAACACCAAGACAGAGAGGGCACATAAAACATAGAGCACAAACCCATTGGACTTATGTGGAAAAGCAGACCCAGCCAGATGAGTGACTTGAGCTCAGGTCAACCTCAAGTTCCATCCATTCTCTCTACAGTCATTTCAGAGTGACCTCTGGCTGGTACTTGCCCCAGTTTGTCCAAGCTTCCCTCTAAAACATCAATGGTGAGAAAATACATGAAGCACAATATGGAAAACTAAGCCTCACAGATGGCCATACCACAAAGGAGGATGCACTCATCACAAGGAGCTTGGCACTTACTTGAGAAAAATATCTGAGGCTTCACGTCATTGATGTTTCACAAAGATGTGTCATCATGGCTCCCCAAGGGAAGGTGGGAAAAAAATTTCCACCTTGCCCAATCTTGCTCCTGGCTCAGAGATCCAGAATTTCTACCTATGAGGAAATGGGTAGCTAGCTCTTTATTGAGATAAATACTCTGAGGGCAAGATAAAGGGATTCTATCCAATTCTGCAAGGCCAGATTTTCTGCCAGGGAATGATCTCCATACTCAATAGAAACTTTTATTATTTAGGTACTTGAATCTTCTCTGACAAATGGATGGACCAGTTTTTTAACCACGTGGAGCCATTTCTTTGTGGGTGGTGTGAACACTAACTCAGATCTGAATCTAAAGCTCAGCAGTCTACATGTTCCTGAGAGGGATAGTGGAGCTTGGAAACTCTAGAATTCAAGATCTGGTCCAGGGAGGAAGGGTTGCTTTTTGGGCACCATCCTATTTCCCTGCACCTGTGAGGCTCCCTGCCTCTGTGTGGATGTCTTTTCACCTGACCCATTCCTTTAAGCACCAGCGAGATTTCTTCAGGAGCAGTCAACACCTTCCAAAGGTCACTGAAATGTAGTCTCAGGTAAGCCTCCCATAGCATTTTAACTATATCATAAAATGAAACTGGATTATATATTGCAGAAATAGAAGCATTACAATAGGACATATTTTTATCCATCTGTAGATTTAACTTATCATTTGGCCTACTTACCATCTTTAGTTTTCTTCCTTACAGAAAAGGCTAGATATGACAGTGAACCCCAGCCACAAGGACACAATCATTTTTGAGATAGGGTAAATGAGGGTTCAGCAAAGCCTAGTAATTTAGACTCAAAAGTAGCTTTGTTTTCTTCAATATAACACTCGTTTTTTTTTTCCACCTTGCACATGCGGTAATTGGTAAATTTCTAAGTGTTACACATATGTGTCTTCAACTTTTATAGACAAATCAATAGGAAGCCAGAAAATCTGAGTGGATGAAATGGAAGTTATACCCAGTTATATAACCAATGCTTTTTTTTCAATAAACCATGCTGTAGGGCTAAGTGTTAAAAAGGAAGTGAAGATAACATATCTATGTCCTATTGTGAAAAATATTACCAAATTTGTGACTCTTTTTACTTGATTTAACTAAATGCTCATTCCGTAGCAAGCAGAATTGTGGATTTGTAGATAAAGAGAGAATCATTATAAAATACTGTTTGTCATTTGTGTCTACATTGACACTTCTCACCTAAGATCTCATTTTATATCATTTCCTTTTGAAAAACAGCTGGTTCTCTTACCAGAGCTGAGCTCAGAAAAATGATAAAATATATTTGTTTGTTTTCTTTTCTATTGGAAAGGATAATGGTCTTATAAACAGTTTTTTGAGCAATGAGAAACACAAAAGTAAAGACTGCTTAATTAATTTTTCACATTAAGAAAATAGGTGAGGTTGAATAAAGATAACAGACTATATGTTGTATGTATTCTACCACTTACCTAAAAGATCTGTGAAAGGACAAAAAGTAGATATTGTCAAAAAATAAATTTATAAATGCTTAGAAAGACAGTCAAGATTATCATCAATGAATCAGGAATATTGAAGTAACATAAAAGATAGAACATAAATAAGATCTGATTAATGTAGAAATAAGACCATAGGAAATCATAGCACTGCAACGTCTATGGAGAAGACTGGTGTGAACAGAAGCAGTAATCTTAAAGCCAAAAGTCAATAACAACAAGAAGTTGATACCCCAGATGATTAATTGGAAAACAAGACTTCTTTGTCCTCCTTTTATTGGGTTAATAAGTAAGAAGCAGGTATATTGCCTACAGCACAAAGCACCGTGTTGGGTGGCAAGACCTGAGTGAAAGAGCACTGCCCTTGTGTAGAGAGGTGGGATGCCCACACAGCAAGAACACAAGCCACTGGTCCCAGCAACTCATTCCATTTCCCTTCTACTGTCACTCAAGACAGCTGAATATGTAAGCAAATAAGAATCCTTAAATACAAAAATGAGCATCAAACAAAATGTTATCACTATTTCAGGAAAACTAGCACAATATGGGGCACCAAATTCAATAAACAGAACTAACATTTAATAAAAAGATTAATAGAGCAAACAGGAAAAGAATTAAAACTACATAAGTAACATGTTTAGAAAGACACAACAAAACAGTGCATCCTTTAAAACAGTTTAAAGTCCAAAAGTATAATGGTGAAAGCAGAGAATGAAATTAATTAACCAGCATAATCAGCTGACTACCTTTCCAGGTCATAATGACAAAGAACAGAGGAAAGAAAATATGAAAGAAGACACAAAAGATATGACGAGCAGATCCAGGTCCAATGTCTTTAATCGGACTTGCAAGATTGAAGGAAGGAGGAGGAGAAGGTAAGGTGGAAGAGGAGGAAGAGAAGGTAAAGAAAGAGGAGGAGGAGAAGGTTCCAGAGAGGAAGAAAGGTTTGACTCCCAAGACGTAAGTGTTCTCTCAACTCCTGAACAGAGCAAATAGGAGAAAACCCACACCAAGCTACATCCTGGTTAAATTTCAGAAGAATAAAGGGAGAATCTTAAAAGTCTTCAGAGAAGGTGAAAAGTCAGCTTATATACAAAGGAATCAGAATTAGATTGCTTCAGAATTTGCTTAGGTGGCAGTGGTGGGAAAGATTATGAGGGAAAATT